TGGGAGAAGACAGACACGAAAACTTGGTAAACTCCAAAGCACTTTCTAACAGATCCAGTGGGATTCTACTTGCATCATTGCTCCCTTCCCTTGGGAGGACCTGTCCTCTTGCCTGCATTCTCTGCTACGAGAGTTAAGGGCTGAGGAAGCATCCTCCAGGCCCTGAGATCCACCATCTCTTGGCTCCTACTAGGCTGAATTGAGGGTAGTGGAAAAAGATCAGTTCCTGGTGAGATGGCACATCAGAGCCTGTGGCACTGAGCTCCAGCCGGGCACCTTTGCAGGCTAAGTGGAGGCCAGTACATCAACTGTCCATTCGTTAAAAAACTTCTCCTGTTTGTTCCGGGAGTGTCCTGGAGTGGGGTTCTAATGATTCCCATTCCTAGCCATGCCCTGCTCCCATCTCCTAGCTTTCACCTGGGGTTGTTTAACCCCTCCGCCATCCAAGTTGACCCTCCAAAGTGGTACTGTTTAAAAGGCATCGCTGACAACACTAAAGCTCTCACTGCTTGCTCACCAGGGCACCAGAAGAAGGTGGGTGATTGGACTGATAGCTTTTATTTTTCTTTACCATTTCCCAATGTATTTCAATGTCTACACCTTCCCAGAGGAGGCAATATCCCATTTAAGAAAGAGTAAAAAAAAGGAGAAAGTTCAGCAAAGCCAATGAACATATCGAAAAAGTCTAACCTCAAATGCAAAGAAACAGGGAGGTGGGGGCAGGAAAGTGTCACTTCATGGCTCACCTTTGGGGCCAAGGGTGGACATTATGATTTCCCACCATGCAGTATGCAGTTTCAATTATTTTGTTCTTTTCATTTTGAAAGCCAGTTTTTCAAGGTAGTTTCTTTCTTCTACTCCTCCACCCCAGCCTTAAACACTGCCCCCCTCCCCACGACTTTGCAGCTTGTAAACAGAGGTGAAAGCCAGGTCAATTTAGCAGGTCTGAACAAGTTTCTAGTCCCATGACCTTAGTGTGCCTGGAATCATTGATACCAGAGTGCCTGGGGGCTCAAAAACTAGGTTGGCCTTACTAGTTACTAGTAGGGCTGTCTTGAGCCTTTGCTTCAGCAGAGAGACAAGGCTGGACCAGAACACTGGGGTTGGGGGGTGGGGTGGAGGAGGAGCACAGATCCCATCCCCCAAGCTTCCCATCTCCAACCGTAGAAGTCAAACCCATCAAGTGTTCTTCCTACCTGTCAGCCCAAGAGGCTCCTGCATGGAGTACAAACAAATATCTCCAATAGTGCGCATTGCCCAGGGAAACAACAAAAGTTGTAATAACTGACATTTCCACAAGGCTTTAAAGTTTTGCAAAGCACTTTATCTCATCATCTAATTAAACAAGTTAAGTCCACAAGTATTTATTAAATGCCTACTAATATGTATGCCAGGCACTGGGGATCAAAAGAAAGACAAAAAAAGACCAAACCAGTTCCTGATTTCCAGGAGCTCACAATCGGATGGACAAGAGAGCATGTAAACACCTATGGACAAACAAGATCATCGGGGGGGAAATGAGAGGGAATCCAGAAGCATGGACAGGGACCAGGAAAGGTCTCTTGCAAAAGGTGGGATTGAAGCTGAAACCTAAAGGAATTGAGAAGAGAGATCCTGGTCTTCTAACTTCCAGCTTCAAGAAAGAAGACATACAGTTCTAGAATCTCTTTAGGTCTCTGAAGGGAGAAAAAGACTCTGGAAGAAGCCAACATGTCGAGGAGCCAGCACCTTGATCATAAAGATTTCAGGGAATTCTTGGGCTGAGATTGAGGTAGCTATTATCATCCCTATTTTTTATAGCTGAGGAAGCTAAGGTTCTAGAAGGTTAAATGAATTGCCCAGGTTCATGAAGCCACCAAGTGTTCGAGGTGGGATTTGAACTCATGTTTTCCTGATTCCAAGTCTAGCACTCTGACCCCTGAGCTCCTCAGATCTCTGTCAGAAAAGGATAGGCATTGTAAAGCAAAGGGAAGGAAAGGAGAAAGGCTACGCTGGTCCAGCATCTGTCAGATAACAGGTAAAGAGATACCACCGATTATCAGGCTGGCTCTAGCCTGTACTTATGTCAGCAATTCCCAAGGAGGAAAAGGGTGACGCAATCTGCTGCAGCCACAACATACTTCCTGTGTAGCATTTTCTGTCTACTTCCCAGAATCACTAGCTGCTTAAACCTGCAAAATCTCAGAATGGAATTTCCCCAGAATACCCCCACCTTCTCTTCCTCCTCCTTAAACTGTGGCACCCAGAGAAAGGGCAGAGACAGGATTTGAACCCAGGCATTTGATCCCAAATCCCATGGAGATGGCAGTGGGGAGAACCTCGCTGGGGAGCTCCTACCCAGGAGTTACTCTTTGGTGGGGCCCCACTTCATCCCAGTTTCCTGATGTTTTCCAGCCAGTAAGTGTCTCTCTCCCTATTTCCAGGCTGTAGGCGGTGTGATGTCTACGATCACTATTAATGCTAGCTATGGGAATGACAAGAAAAAGACATTGATAGCATAAGCACAGGCAGAGAAGAAAGAAAATTATTATCTTTTGCGAATGATATGATCATTTTCTTAGAACACTCCAGGGCTAAAACAATTGAAACAATAACTTTAGCAAAGTTGTAGCAAATTAAACGAATCAACACAAACCATCAGTCTCTCTACATTTTACCAACACAAGCAGAAAGAGATAGGATCCATTTCATTCAAAATAACCACAGAAGGTATAAAATATTTGGCAGTCTACTGACTGAGCTGCACATAAGATCTATATGACTATAACTACAAAGTAATTTTATTCAAGATAGACTTAAGTAATTGGATAAATATGCGTTGTTCTCATGAGCAGGCTGAGACAATATAATAAAAACCACAAAATGACTTATTAAATACCATACCAAACTACTTGTATTATAAAATGAAACCAATGCAGCTACAATTAAAAGGGAAACAGCAAATGAGGGAAATCTTTGCAGCAAGATTTATAACTACTTTTTTGTTATAGCAAAGAATTGTTAACTATGATGCGTGAGTTTAATAGACTATTACTGCACTATAAAAAATGTTGAAAGGGATAGATTCAAAGAAACCTGGAAAAACTTTTATGAAGTAATTCAAAGTGAAGTGAGAAGAAGCGGGAGAACAATTTATACAACAACAACATTGTAAAGGAAAACTATTTTTGAAAGGCTTGAGAACTCTGATCCATGCAGCAGCACACCACAATTTCAGAGGGCTGATGAAGCAGGCTACTCCCCACCTGACAGAGTAGGTGATGAGAGCAGAATGACCAGAATAGAGTTTGGGTCATGGCTTTGCTTGACTATGCACATCTGCTGGGGCCGGGCTGGTTTTCTTTCTTTTTTTCCTGATTTTCTTGGAAAAAGAGATAAGATGCAGAGGGAGGCCATGGATAGCGTTCTCTTCATACCACCCCCCTCCACAAAAGAGAAACAAGCAGAAAGAAGGCCACAATGAATCACAGATAGTCAGGAAAGTTTCAGAAGTTACTCTGTGAAGCTTTATTTACATAATGGAAATTCACACTTTCACGTATAATTCTCTCCCATTCTACAACGAGGTGAAAATGCTCATTGTATTAGGTACTTGTTAGGTTCACAGTTGGGGAAAAAAAGGATTTAACAAAAAAAAAAAAGAAAAGAAAATAGGAGGTGAAAACAAGGCTCCTTAAGCTTCAAGCAGCACCCAGTGGAAAGAGGGCTGGATTCAGATTCCGAGGACCTGGGCTCGAATCTTCTCTCTGATATTTACTACCTGTGTTACCTTCAGAAAATCACTTCCCCTCTCCGGGCTTCTGTTTTTTCCTTTGTAAAATGAGAAGGTTGGACTATTTGACCTTAAAAGGCTTTTCCAGCTCCAGATCTAGGGTCTCATGATCCTGAACTTGACACACTTTGCGAGTTTTTCCCTTCCCAGCCTCTCTGACTCCCAAGGTCTCTGGCTTCCTAGGTCCCAGGCCCCTCCAGGGTCCCAGGCTCCCTGGTTCTATGACTCCCTCTGTCTCTAGCTGTCTGGCTCCACTTAAGTGGAGTGAGCCCATGAATGCAAAAGGCTGGGACACAGCACTTTTTTAGCATGGAAGTCAGTGTTCCCACCTCAGAATAAAGGGCGATTGACCAATAGGAAGGCAAAACCAGAAGCTGATTTCAATGCTCTGGGTCACTTTGCCCCTTCTCCTTTTCACAAGGCAGGGAAAGGGAGAGCAATGGGAGTTTGCTCCAGAGCCCGGGGGGGGGGCGGGCAGGAGTTACCCTTAGCCATGTATCAACCTGGGAAGGGAGGAAAAGAGAGAAAAAGCAGGTGCAGAAGGGGACCGAGTCATGGCCAGCAGTCCACCAGAGGCTGGGCTCTGGCTTGAGCAGAATAACACCAGGGCCAACGGTTGTCTCAGCAGGCAGTTTTCACTTTCTCGAAGGCATAGCTTTCCTAAGGGCAGAACTATCCAGTCCAAGCTAGTGAAGCTCAGAGCCAGCCTGTCCCTGGCCTCAGCACAGAAGAGACACAGAAGGCCTCCTGAGGGCTGGGTTCTGTCTGTGGGTGTGGATAAGGCACCCGAAAGACACAAGCAGATTCCCAGAATCTGATCCAGCTGCTTGGGAGAGAGCTACATAGGCAGTTTTCTGACACACAGAGAGGAATATTGACGTATTGGGATGGGCTGGTTGCATTTCTAGGGAATGTTCTGGGACCCATGTTTGCCACCAAAACGGGACACAGAGAGAACCGAGCTAAGTGATGATCACTGACATCATAGTCACTATGACCCTCAGATCCTTTTGCACATGCTGAAGGATGACTTTTTGTTCACCTTGGACAGACTGGGAGCCCCTGTTCTTGGGAGGGAGTGGCAGGCTGTACCTTGGGGCACAGGAGAGGAAGAAACATGCCAGGAATGTGATTCAGATGGGATTCCTCAAGGCCTGTTGGAACTGGAAGAGTTGAGAAATAGAGGGGAGGAGAACACAGGAATGCAGACCTTTCACTTGCAGGGGAGGATGAAGAGAGTAAGCACAGCTGTACGTGAGAGCTTTCTATGAACGTCAGCGAGGGTAAACACGCATTTGGTATATCTGATTTGTTCCTACTGCCAAACTACATTCATCTTCTTGGTTATAGAGCCATACTTGGAGTCAGGAAGATTTTGGTTCAAATCCTACCTTAGACCCTTCCTAACTCTGTGACCCTGGGTAAGTCATTCACCTGAGTCTCCATTTTGCAGTCTGAAAGCTGGGGTTACAGGTTGTTGTGAGAATCTAGTACATAAAATGCTTTGTAAACTTTGAAGTGCGATGTAAACGTCAGCTGGATCCGCTCAGGGCTTCTTCAGTTTCTCCTTGAACCAACTTGAATCAACTCCTGTTGAGTTCATTCTCTCTCTCTCAGTGCCTCTGCCCCTCAGTCTGGTGGATTAATCCTGGAGGGCTTCCCTCTGACCCTCCCTTCTCCCACTCATGCACAACTGCATTGTGCTGATTGTAGCCCCAACACTCTGGTGTCTGCTCCCTCTCCTCCATTTCCACTGCCAATACTCTGCTGCGAGCCAACCTTCTCACCCACCAGGACCCAGCTGGCAATAATCCCCAAGCAGGTCTTCCAGCCTTTTCTCTATATCCCCTCTCCAATGCATAAGGTTGCCAGAGAGACTTTCAGCCAAGATGGCTGCCTCAATGGGAGGTAGACCACCCACCTCCCGGATGTCGACTCCAGCAAAACCCTGCTGTTCCCACCTGATTGAATAATGATTGAGAAATTCAACGAGAAACAGCTTCTTTCACTCCAAAACCACACAAGAGGTCAGCCAGAAGCCCATGGGAAATAGGAAAGGGGGACACAAGCCAGCAATCTCCCAGCCTGACCAGAGACACTTGGAGCCTGCCAGGATTTGTGTCCAGAGGCAGGCAAGAGCGGAGGCTCCCACATGGTCAAAAAGCCCTAGAGTGGTAAGAAAGCTCCGGGGGGGAGGGGGTGCGGGGGGGGGGAAGGGGGCTTGGAAATCCAAGGGAGAGAGAGATAGTGACCAGAGAAGCACAGCAGCACTCAAACTGGGCCCAGGACCCATGAATGAATGAATGAATGAATGAATGAATGAATGAATGAATGAATGAATGAATGAATGAATGAATGAATGAATTTCCTGTTAACCCTGGGCTTATCCCTAGGGAAAGTGAGAGTTCTGTCCCCAGACATTTCCTCCTGGACAGTGAGCTTTTAGAAGAGAGCTAAGCTCAAGTTAAACAGGGCCCAGAGAGGTTTCCAGTACTACACAGAGAAAGAACCTCAGCTATTTCTCCACACTCAAGGCTAGAATTTCCTGAGTTGTTGTTGCTGTTGTTTTAAAATAATATTGAAGAAAGTGCATCAGCAGGCCCTTCTTTTGAGGTGTAGATGCTAGGTAGACCCCAAAATCACAATACGTGGGTCTCGCCTGAATGAATTTGACCCAAATCTTCCTTCAGCCAAAGACCAGGTTTATTACAAGATGAACCATACGGGCCAGACTCTTAAGGAATCTGAACATTAGTGATGCTCATAAGGATGAGCAGGCATGGATCTTATCCACAGCCAAGTAATTTGGGGTGACTGGAGGAGGGGCTGGAAGGAGGATCTTGAAGCTGGAGTGGCTGGGGGAGGAGTTTAGGGAGAATCCCGATGGGGAGTATCTGGGAGGTTGAATGGGGTTACCTGGGAATAGACAGTGGAGGGCTAGGCTTTATTAGGGTAACAAAGAACTGGAAGATAGGGAAGGAAGAGGTTGAATGGGGTCTGGATAAGATCAAGGATGGGAAATATAACCCAGGGCTACAGACCATGGAGGAGTAAGCTTCATTAGGGTAGCAAAAGGAGAGAGGGCCTGGGATATCCCTAGATAAGGCAGAGCCAGTTGATTAGGAATAAGAATCAGGAGACTGCTAGACTTCCTCGACCAGGTAGGTGAGTGAGTTCAAAGAAAGTTTAAGGGTTTTCTGGGGCCCTGTAGACAAATGGGACCCAAATTCTTTTTGGGGCAAGGGGCAAAGGTCTTGGCTTGGGCCCATACCCCATCCCTTCCATGACTCAGTGTCCAGAAGATCGCACTATGCTATAGAGACCAGGGGGTCAGGAGGCTTGGCTTCTTTCCTGGCTTTTCCCTAACTAGCTGTGTAATCCTAAACAAGTCACTTCCTCTTACTGGGCCTTGGTTTTTCTATCTATAAGGGGAGGAGGTTGGGCTGGACGGCCTCAAAGGTGCCATCGCAGCTCTGGTATTATGATTCTCTGCCTTGAACAAGGAGGTAGGGAAGAGGGGAATGGGGAAAGGAGAGAAAGGGAGATGAATGAGAAGGGAGCAGAGGGGGCTGAGTGATAATATAATGAAATGTCCTGCGGCCTGGACAGGCTTCCTGCTCTGAGAGAGAATCTTCCAGGGAAACCGTCCACCTGCCCAATTCCTTACCTGCTTTCCAGGCCTAATGTATAGGCTTGAGGTTATGGGCCCTTCTGGCCTGGGCAGAGCTGCTGTGCCCAGTATTGGCATCTTTCTCCAAGGTTCAGCTCTATGCCTCAAGGTGGCTTTGGAGCTGTGCCCCCTCCCTCCCTTTTCCATTGTTCCTGCTGCCTGTTTTGTTGTGGGCATGAACTTACCATGACTCTCTCCAGCTGCTCAGACAGGGCCAAGGTTTGCTTGGACCTGTTATGGGCTGGCTGGGTCCTTGACCCTCTGAGTTCATTGTCTTCGAAGAGGGTAGATTTTGGAGAAAGGAATGTCTGGAACCCAAACAAGGAGTCACTACCTTGGGGAGGGGAGTTTATATGGTGGGAAGGCCTGGCTGTATTCTGGCTCTTGTGTGTCTCTGTTGGACCAGAGCAAGGTTTCTCAGAAAGGGGTCAAAGTGACCGTCTCAATGACCCCCAATACTTTGAATGTTGGCATGACTGTAAGCTCTCTGAGGGCAGAGATGGTATCTTACATTTTTCTCGTCAAGTGGAGCACAGTTCTAGAAATGTTGTAGGCACTCAACGAAGACTCACTGAAACTGAGTGAATTTAGCTTTGCTGATTTCATGATCCCATCATGTACATGTATGAACATATACAAAATAAATACAAGGTCATTGATGGGAGGAGGATGGAGGGAGAGAGCCTTATATAAAAGATAGGACTTGAGCTGAACTTTGAAATCTTGGAATTCTAAAGCAGAGGTGACTAGGGAGGACCAAGGCACAGGGACCAGCCTGTACAGAGGTTTGGAGATGGGAGATGGGATGTTGTGTGTGGATGACATAAGAATTCTGTTCTCTACATCATCAGTGTCCCTCCCCGTCACCAAGGCTGTTCCCAACATCTCCACTAATGCCCCCACCCCCAGCCCCACCCTACTCTGTCTATGCTCCTGTCAAAAGACTTTCTAGTTATAGCTTTGCCTCATGCAAGGTGTTGCTTTGGGCCCATTTCTGTTTGTTCTGTCAACTACAGTACTAACAGTGGACAATGGCTGAGAAAACTCTGTGTGTGTGTGTGTGTGTGTGTGTGTGTGTGTGTGTGTGTATGTATAGGGGTGCTATGAGAGGAAATATCCACATCTCTCTCTCTCTAACTCAGAGATTTGAAAACACAGTGGGAGCTACTGAGGGATATAGTGGGGAACAAAATGAGCAGTCCTCATGCACTGCCCTCTTGACCTTCCCCTTCTCCTCTGAAGAGTCAGCCCCCATATAGGGCACACGACCCACAGGGACTCAGGGCCTAGGGGCCACTGCCTTTTAACTCTCTCATCCAAAGGATTTACAACTGATTTAAACCACCAAACCCAGGAGAGACTGGCAAGAAATTGTGGTGCCTTTCCCTCAAATCAAGCAATTGAACAAACAACCAAGTGTGGACAACTTTGCTCTCCTATCTGGGAAGGGGAGAAGGGGCCTAGGCTTAGTTGGGTGTGAATGATTTCTCCTTGCTTGCTGCTCACTAGGCAGCCTTTAAAAGGGGTGGCTGAAAGCCAAAGAGTTCTCTGGCCCAGGCAGACAGCTATTGAGAAAGGCCGACGTGCTGCCTGGCTGTGGCCTTTCTTCCCCGCAGACACAGCCCTGGGAACCCTTCTGTTGGCAGACAGCCTACCACGGAGCAATTTCATTAGCAGTGTCTGAAATGGTCTCTTTGTAGAATTCATCTCTTGTCTTTGCTACTGAAGCTCAATGAGAGTTTCAAGGTGAGGCATATGCCCAGGGCTTAGTGCCCTCATCCTATAGTGGAGGAAGGTCATGCAAAGTCTTACACTTGTGGCTTTCCTCGGCAGCAGTGAAGGTGCAGGAGGAGGTCCTTGGCCTATCTGCTAGCTTGTCTGGCAGGATGGCAATAGGCTGTTCCCCAATGGAGAGATGCTTCCTGACTGGCAGGAAGCACAGGAATGGTACCTTCACCCTTGAGGGCCCTGGTAGTCCAACCAATACCTGATCAAGAGTCCCCTGGTCAACAGGAGGCAGTGTGCTGGCTTCAAAGACTTGCTCCCTGCGAGACCTTGGACAGGCCCTCTCCACACTTCCATTTCCTCCTCTGCAAAAATGATGGGCTGGACTAGTTCAGAGGGGCTTAATCTTGGGCCCACAGATAGCTCCATGAATTTAGAAGAAAAAAATGATATCTTTTATGTTCTCTGACCTCTACTGGAAATTTTGCATGTTCTTCAGTTATGAATGTAGGCAACAAATATGATTCTGAGCAGGAATGCATCACTGCCCAAGGTGGGGCTCATGATACTCAGAAAGGGGAAGATCTCCTGGACCAGAGGTGGAGCTAGGGGAATAGTGGCAGTAGGGATGAGAGTCCCTCTGGCAGCCTTATGCTACAGTTCTGCTACATACAAGGCACTGTGCCCTCAGGGAGCTTACACTCTACTTGGTGGGGATACAAGGTACACACAGATAAATATTTGGTGGTTGAAGCACTAATAACTGGGGGAGAATCTGGAAAAAAGAAAACCCTCATATAGAAAGTGGTCCTTGAGGTGAGCCCTGAAGCAATTTACAGACTCCCAGAGGCAGAGATGAGGAAGGACAAGTCTCTCTTTTCTGGGGAGAGGCGGGGGATGCTGGGTGGAGAATGCTGCAGACACTGGCCAACATGCTCACTTTATTGGTTGACTTGGCTTAAATGGTTTATTGCCTTTGTCACTGTTACCAGGGAAGTTTCACTGGGTAGGTGGGGGATGGAGGGGATATTATTGTTGTTCAGCCATTTTCAGTCATGTCCAACTCTTTGGGACCCCATTTGGGGTTTTCTTGGCAAAGATACTGGAGTAGTTTACCATTTCCTTCTCCAGCTCATTTTATAGATAAGGAAACTGAGGCAGAGTGAAGTGACTTGCCCAGGGTCACACAGCTAGTAAGTGTCTGAACTCAGGAAGACTCATCTTCCTGACTCCAGGCCCAGCACTCTGTGCACTATGGCGCCTCCTAGAGGCCCGTAGAGGGGCCATATCTAGAAGCAATTGTAACAAAACAAAAGGCACCCAGGGAAGGATAAGGAAAGGAGGGAAGAACCCCAAATACCAATGGGTGGCAGTTACAAAGAGACCACTTTAGGTCGATGGCTGGAAAACTGTCCTAGGAATCAGAGCTCACCCAAATTGGGATGGGCCGCTCACAACCAAGTGTCATCCTCGACTGCTCACTCTTACCCCTCATCACCCAGGCAGGAAATGATGAGTTTATGGCTAAAAACTGTTCATGTTTCTCTCCTCTGACCCTGTCTCCACCCTAGTGCAGGCCCTCATCACCTCCCACCTGAACCACTGAAAGAGCTGCTGGGGGGGGGGGGTGTTGTCTGCCTGCCTCAAGTCTTTCCCCACTTCAGTCCATCCTCCACTCAAGGCAACCTTCCTAAAGTGCACTCCCTTATTCCACAAACTCTAATGGCTGCCTACGACCTCCAGCACCACATATGAAATCCACTGTTAGGTAGCCAAAGC